GGGGCCTAGAGGTTTAGAAGTTCATAGGGGTTTAGGATTTAAGGTTTAGGGTTTAGGGTTTAGAGAGGTGTAGACTTAACCGCTAAAGTCTAGAGGCTTTCGGCTTAGAGATTTAGGGTTTAGGCGCTTCTGGGAGGAACGACAGCCGCAGGTACCATTCCTCGCTCATCCGTGCTGGCCACCAGGCGGTTGTCCTTCTGGAAACAGCTTCAACAAGGGTTCGGGGTTTGGTGAAACTTGGGAAGCTCCTGATATCATTGGCACCTGATATCTTCGAGTTTGCTACCACTAAGCTGGAACATTCCTAAGCCCTAAACTCTCTAAACCCTAAACCCTAAACCCTAAAACCTAAACCCCCAAAACCCTAAACCCTAAACCCTAAGCCTTCCTCAAAAAAGCGTGTGAAACCTCATCCTCGAACCGGAAAAGAGAACAGCTAGTCTAGGGTTTAGGGTTCGGGGTTGAGGGTTTTAAGGGCTTAGGCTTTTTCGGGTTTAGGGTTTAGGGTTTAGGGTTCGCATAATTAGGGTTTAGGCTTCTAGGGTTTAGGACTCGGGGTTGGGGGGGACGGAAACTTTGAGCAAACTCTCAAGGGCAGCTGTTAATGCAAAATCACTCTCGAGAGCACACATGAACAAACGGACGCAAAAAAAACCTCAAAGGCGAAGGCGGCTTCCCTTTCTAAACCCTGAACCCTAAGCCCTAAATCCTGAATCCTGAACCCTAAACCCTAAACCCTCAACCCTAAGCCCTGAACCTGGAATCCCATGCGCAGCGGTTTTCCAGGAGTGGAAACCCTCTTCCCATGTTGGCTGTGAAGCGAGTGGCTGGCTTATCTCGCCCTGAAACGACTTGAACCCTGAACCCTAAACCCTAAACCCTAGACCCTAAACCCTAAACCCCAAACCCTAAACCCTAAACCCTAAACCCCAAACCCTAAACGCCAAACCATGTGACCATGTGGGGGCCTGGGTGCCCCCCTGCTTGGCTTCGCGTCCTTTCGCAAACCCGAAGCTGTAAACATAAACCCTAAACCCTAAACCCTAGACCCTAGACCCTAAACCCTAAACCCTAAACCCTAAAACCTCAACCCTAAACGCTTAAATCAAATCCCAAAACCCGAACCCTTAAGGCTGAAGGAGCCATCGGTGTATATACGTGGGCATGCATATGTATGCATGTGTTCATCTTCTTTTCTACGGATAAAACACACGATGGAAACCTCACTGGGCTCTTAGCAGGGGAGTTAGGAAAATATTTTCCCGAAGCTTAACACACGAAACACTAAACCCTAAAACCCAGCGTCTCAGCTTGAGGGTAGAAGAGTTTAGGGCTTAGGGCTTAGGGCTTAGGCTCTAACCCTAAACCCTAAACCCTAAACCCTAAACGCAAAACCCTAAACCCTAAAGCCCTCTATCATAAACCCTCAGCCCCCGAACCCACCCCTGCTGGCCTGCGTGACGGCCCGCAGGCGCCGAACTTTGCAAACCTGCTTCACAGAGACTCCAAGACACCCCACTTAAGGAATTCAGGAACTTCGAATTTAGGGTTGGAGTTTGGGTTTTAGGGTTTAGGGATGTCGAGTTTAGGGTTTAGGGTTGGGGATTAGGGCTTCTTCGAATTTAGGGGTATATACTCCCTAAACCATAGTCGAATCCACCGACCCTGGCGGCGTGTTGGACCCTAAACCCTAAAGCCTAAAGCCTAAACCCTAAATCCTAAACCCTAAGCCCCAAACCCTGAACCCAAACCCCAAACCCTAAACCCTGAACCCTAAACCCCAAACCCTAGGCCCTCCCCCTCCCCCAAGCCTTGAAAGATTACTTCTTCTGCCGTTCGCTTAGTCTGGTAAACTCTGTATGAACCAACAAGCAGGCCTCATGTGGGACCCTAGGACCAAGAGAAGGGAAGAGAGGGCTCCGACCGGGTTTTGGGGATCAAGGCTTTGTGAGTGCTTCATGCTTTGGGTCACCGGCAAAAAGGTACCCGTGTCATGATTGGCACCTCTGCGGTCTTGTCCCAAACCCCCCCCCTAAACCCTAAACCCTAAACCCTAAACCCTAAACCCTAAACCCTAAACCCTAAACCCTAAACCCTAAACCCTAAACCCTAAACCCTAAACCCTAATCGGGTGTTTCTTTTGCTCGTGACTCCATTGCCTCTCATGGGCACGCATTGAAAAATAGCGACTCTCCTACCCTCGCGGCGCATGCCTCGAACAGGGGGATTATGCTGCCGGACAAAGGTCAGGCAAATCGGGTGTATATATATATACATATATTATGTATAATGTATACAGACACAGACACACACACACACACTCTATATATATATATATATATATATATATATAACATTGAATGTATTTTGTATATGTAAATGAATAACTGAGTATATACATGTATGTAAAACAGATGTTGTATGATGATGTTTTCATATATATATATATATATATATATACATTCATTCATACATACACATGTATTCTATCTATCTATCAATCCATCTCTCTGATATACGGCTGACTACTAAGTTGCCAGAAGCGCCAGACCGCTGGCGTTTAAAAAATTGCACTTGCATGTACAGCTTGCGTCTGGCAACATGAAAACAGTGGCAGTTCTCTAAATTAGGGTCCCTTGCGGGCCCCTTATGTAAATCTAGACCGGCAACCCTAAAAAAGAAGGACCCCCCCCCCCGCACCCCTTCCCCCCCGAAAGGGACCCTATTTTAGAGAACTACTCCACATGGACACGGACAACTTTTGGACATATGTCGGTTGCGCAAGCACGCGCGACTCATCGAGAGCAGCCATTATGGCCCAAACCCCAAACCCTAAACCCGACCCTAACCCGAGTTCGCTTTTCCGGTACAAGCTGAGATGTCTGTTCAGTGTTTCTGATGGCACCTACAGGACTCTGCAGGGGGTGGTCGGTCGGCAAGAAGGGACCAAAAGCCAGACAAGACAGAGGCAAGAAGAGGGGGTTTAGGGTTTAGGGGTTAGGGTTTAGGGGTCAGGGTTTGAGGTTTAAGGTTTACCATGATCCGGCTCTGGTCCGAAACCAACGAGCCACCATGAGGGAGTGAAGAACAGGAGCGTTTCCCTCGTTCTGGGTCTGGCTCCAAGAAGGAAGGAACCCTAAGCCCTAAGGGAGACAAGGAGTGAGACAAAAAAAGCGGGGAAGGGTTTAGGGTTTAGGGTTTAGGGTTTAGGGTTTAGGGTTTAGGGTTTAGGGTTTAGGGTTTAGGGTTTAGGGTTTAGGGTTTAGGGTTTAGGGTTTAGGCTTTAGGGTTTAGGGTTGAGGGTTTAGGGTGCCACGATGGCGCTGGTTCCAGACGGGGCAAGGATGCAAGAAGGGAGATTGGGTTTAGAGTTTAGGGTTTCGGGTTTAGGGTTTAGGGAGACAAGAACAGGGGCACGCCCCGTGACCGTCCCGTGTGCAGCACCCGTGCAGGACCCTGCTTTGGGTCCAAACGGGAGCCTAATGTCTAAACCCTAAACCCTAAACTCTAAACCCTTAAACCCTTAAACCCTAGACAAGAAGGGAGACAAAATCGATGGCATGCCCCAGGATCCGATTCAAGCGAGACATCAAGGCAAAACACGCAAGCTCCGGACGCAGACGCCGGAGCAACAGGGTTTAGGGTTTAGGGTCTAGGGTCTAGGGTTTAGGGTTTAGGGCTGAGGGTTGAGGGTAGGGATTAAGCAGTGGCTTGGGAAGCTCGACACCAAACCAAAGGTAATGCTACACCTTTACCCAAAAAAGGCCCTTAAGAATATGGGGCTTTGGCGGATATTGGTAACGTACTTATGATAGGAACCAAACGGAGATAATACTAGCAATTCTTCCGACTATGACTTCTAAATTCGAAGCCCTAAGCCCCTTAACCGTAAAGTCGAACCGTAAACCTAACACAACAAATGAACCCCCCCCCCCCCCCCCCACACGGTTTGAAGCCCTCGTGATCCGGGCGCTCGCAGGCGACTGTCCTTGGGGACTCTCATTGGTTCCTACAAAGGAGATCCTAACCCCGAAACCAAGAACCCTCAACCCCTGAACCCCTATCTTACTTCTCCAATAACCAAGGGGCAAAAAGGTTAAAGTTTATTATTCCTACTAAATAAGGGAACCCAAAAAGTTTAAAGTTCAGCTGTTGGAGAAGTAAGCTATTTGCAGTTCGTTTAGCCCCCAAGGGCGTGAACATGATGCCATCTCGTGCATCATCCCCCCTGGCTTCGCTAAAAGGCGAAGGCAAGAGCACAACGGCAAATTCAATCCCCTGCCACTCCGCTTGCACCAAACACAGGACCCCATCAGGGTTTAGGGCTTAGGGTTAACCTTGAACCCCTGATCATGACCAGGTCCATGGCAGGGAGGTGTCACGGAACTGTGGCACCAAGATGTGCGCAGGCTTGTTCGTCCAGTCAGACTGACCCACCGGGTCTAGGGTTTACTCGCCTCATCGAAATCGTTTAGGGTTTAGGGTTTAGAGCAACCCTGGACCCCAAACAACTACAAGTAACCCCATACCCGCAAGGCCGCTTCAGGACTGAGAACAACGCTGCAAATTGACAAGGTATCTCTGCGTGGTGACTGTCGGATCTGCCATGCCAATGTATCTTAAAAGCGCAGGTTCTCGCCATGTCTGCCCGAAGCTGTTGGAGGCTTCGTGTGAACAGAGATGATCGATCATGATGGCGACAGAAGGAGCAGTATTGCCAACAGGCTGCCAATGCACAGAATATTCCTACGCATTACATCAGGCCTGTGTCCTATGTACCATCAACCCCAACCCCCATTAACAGGACGAGAGTCATAACCTTCACTCTGTAAGGCAAGGGGACCGCGCCACCACTCAGTTTGCGTGGGGGGGGAGCTATCACGAAGCTGTCGGAAGCGTCCGAAACCCCCACGTAGATAACGATTTAACGATTTTAATTAGGCCGCGTGCGATCCACACATGCCTCCTTGCGGTCGCAAATCTTTGTCACTGACCAAACCTCACAAGGCCATTGTCATAGCCTCTAAGCCCCCAAACATCCCCGATGTAGAACAGAAGAACCGTACGCAACGAGGCCACCGCTGTCCGGAGGCCATGGTTCAAAAAATTTGGGGGTTTACGATCTTCGGGGAGTGCCTTCTTGGGTCCCTTTTTTAAGGGGATCCTCGGATTTTTGGGGGGCCTAAACCCTAAACCCTAAACCCTAAACCCTAAACCCTAAACCCTAAACCCTAAACCCTAAACCCTAAACCCTAAACCCTAAACCCTAAACCCTAAACCCCCCCACGTTTGTTGTCGTAAACCCCCCCAAATTTGGGAGAATCTTTGGAGAACTGACTGACGGTCAGGGTCCGGGTGTCGCAGCGGAGCATGTCTGCGGCTATCCTCGGATGGCCCAAATATTAAAACCCTCTGAAATTCTTGCGGGTTAAGGTTTAGGGTTTAGGGTTTAGGGTTTAGGGTTTAGGGTTTAGGGTTTAGGGTTTAGGGTTTAGGGTTTAGGGTTTAGGGTTTAGGGTATGATCCCTCTTAAGCCCAATAAGGGAAAATAACAAAAGTATGCCAACCATACGGGGTACGAGAACCCCTGTTAAGGACGGTTAGTATAAGGAACGTGCCAAGCTATGACTCAACAAGGGACAACATATGAATATTTCTCAGGGCTTACCGAGAATCTGTACTTCTAACCCCAAATCAGAACCTTCTTAAGGCACTTAAAGGCCTAAACCCTAAACCCTAAACCCTAAACCCTAAACCCTAATAAGTACCATGGACCTCCAAGAATCTGGTTGCGCTGGCGATCTGCGAGCTCCAAGGCTGTCCAGCCCTTGGACGTCTTCGCCCATCTATCCTTGGTATGGTTTAGGGTTTAGGGTTTAGGGTTTAGGGTTTAGGGTTTAGGGTTTAGGGTTTAGGGTTTAGGGTTTAGGGTTTAGGGTTTAGGGTTTAGGGTTTAGGGTTTAGGGTTTGCCCAGTATGCACTGGGGGGTTTCCGACAATAGGGTTACCCTTGTTTTGGGGGTTCCTATAATAAGGATTATTGTATTGTTGGGTTCTATTCGGGGTACCCCTACTTTGGGGAATGCCCATACCAAAAACAAGGGCACCCTTGTTTTGGGTTGGTTACCCTAAACCCTAAATCCTAAACCCTAAACCCTAAGCCCTAAACCCTAAACACTAAACCCTAAACACTAAACCCTAAACCCTTCACCCGTTTTAAGGACAAGGGGGACCACTGGACAACCCAAGTATCGGCGCCAGCTTGGAGGAGTATGCGGACCATCTCGTGATCGCCGCACTTTGCGGCGACATGAAGGGGAAAAAGCCTTTCCTACACTGAACTTGGACGTTTGCAAAAACTAATTGTTTTGCTGTTTCTTAGAAATTCTAGTACCCAAAAACTAAAAAAACACTTCCAAGTACCCCTAAGTTTCCTTGAAAGAGAAACACCCGCTCTGCCGCGGCTCATTTACCTGGGTCGTGATTCAAGAGACACTCTGGCCCCAAAATAACATAAATGCACTATTCGTGAATAGCTTCCCTGGCATAGAAGAGAAAAGAACAGCCACACAAACAACTCCCAAAGCATGCCTTGGTTGCGTCGCTGAAGCCATGCGTCTTCCTTGGTGACCAGATGAACCGCAAGGTTGTGATCACAGACCCCCCAGCTTCTACAATCCAGGCCCGAAGCCCTCAACCCTCAACCCTCAACTCTAAACCCTAAACTCTAAACCCTAAACCCTGAACCCTAAACTCTGAACCCTAAGCCCTAAACCTTTCAGGGACCAGTGCATGCCCAAGTTTCAAGAAATCCTCAAGCATTAGCTCTCGGAGGTGGCGCAGGCTACGGCGACGTGGCGCCTTTGACTTCTGCTCATGCTCCGGGTTCCTGCCGTTTGCAGAGAGCAACCCTAAACCCTAAACCCTAAACCCTAAACCCTAAACCCTAAACCCTAAACCCTAAACCCTAAACCCTAAACCCTAAACCCTAAACCCTAAACCCTAAACTCCTTGACCCGAAACCCTAAACCCTGAACCCTAAACCGTAAACAACACGAACATGATGAGAGCAGTGCGAAATCACCATAGCAACAGCCATATGAGTAGTAGCAGTAGTAGCAGTAGCAGTAGCAGTAGTAGTAGTAGTAGTAGTAGTAGTAGTAGTAGTAGTAGTAGTAGTAGTAGTAGTAGTAGTAGTAGTAGTAGCAGTATAGTCGCAGTAGCAGTAGCAGCAGCAGCAGCAGCAGCAGCAGCAGCAGCAGCAGCAGCAGCAGCAGCAGCAGCAGCAGCAGCAGCAGCAGCAGCAGTAGCAGTAGTCGTCCGTCGTCCGTCGTCCTCGTCGTTGGCCGTCGCCGTCGCCGCCGCTGCCGTTGTTGCCGAATTCAAGGCGGTAGTCGCAATCGCAAACGTAGTAGGACTTCTAAATGGAGTAGCCGCAGTAACAGTACATATAGTAAACATATTTGTAAGAATGAGAATAAGCATAAGCACATGAAAATAAGAACAACTCTGATAGCCATCGGCATCACATCTTTCGGGCTCCTGTCTGCCACGAAGTAGCGAACCATGTTGAGTGCGCTGCGCGCCGTTTGTGTATCCATGGTCTCGGATGTTGCGTCCCTTTCGTTGTAGCCCTTGGGCTCTGCCTGGATTTGGCCTGGCAGAACCGCTGTCATGGTCGCCATTGCTTCGCGTCTGGAACTGCCCTGCTCTCCGCAGCAACATTAAAAGAAAAGGCTGCGGGAAGTCCGCGGAGGTTTTTGCGCCAGACCCTATCAGCCCTGCACCGTAACTACAATTGCTGAAGACCCCCCCAAGAATAAAAACAAGTCTATATAATTCCTATATAACCCTCATAAGGAAGAATCTTGTTATTTTTAAGGGGTGTTCTTAAGCAGTTCGTAGGTAAACAAGATTTGACCTCACTGGCTTTCAGGATTGCGGTCCTCCACCACTTCCACACCTCCTACATCCCTAGAAGGGCTCTACTTAAGCCACTGAACAAGTTGGCAAACTGTAAACACAATAACCCTAAACCCTAAACCCTAAACCCCTAAACCCTAAACCCTCAACCCTCAACCCTCAACCCTCAACCCTAAACCGCCCTGAACCCTAACCCCCGAATCCTAAACCCTAAAAATTGGTGACCTCCGGGTTGCCATCCTCATCCGCCAGGGTGACCTCTGGGACATTCTTGGGAAGATGGGGGTGTTGCTTGAGCTTTTTGCGGTCTGAGGGGTTTGCGGTTTAGGGTTTAAGGTTTAGGGCTTAACGTTTAGGGTTTAAGGTTTAGGTTTAAGGTTTAGGACTTCAGGGTTTAGTCTTTAGGAGAGAAGGGTTTAGGGCTTCGAACTGCAGGCTCGGGCTCTTGTCTCTCACGTCTTTATATGGGGGTTTACGAAAATACGGGACCCCCTAATATAGACCTCTCTCTCTCTCTCTCGGTGCATGTCTTCCTCTTCCTCAATTTGTCTCTGTCTTTCTTGTCTCCTGATGGATGTCCGAACTGTACCACCCCGCCCCACAGAAAACCCCCGCCTTATGCACCCCACAAACGCCTGAAGCCCTAAAACCTGCACCTCGAACTGTGGGTTTAGGGTTTAGGGTTTAGGGTTTAGGGTTCAGGGTTCAGGGTTTAGGGTTTAGGGTTTAGGGGGGTCACCAGGGGTCCGACCCTCAAGTTTAGGGCTTCAGGCCTTAGGGCTTAGGGTTGAAACACGGAATAACAAAGGGGCTGAATAATTTGAATAATTAGAATAGGGTTGTTGGGGGTTATTGTACAAAGGGACCAGAAGGGAATTCTTCCGCCCCCTGGATTTAGAGTGCCACTGGGCCCCGAAACTCTAAACCCTAAAGCTAAACCCTAAACCCTAAACCCTAAACCCTAAACCCTAAACCCGAAACCCGAAACCCTAAACCCTAAACCCTAAACCAAAAACCAACAGGGAACAAGAGTGCCACTGGGCGTCATAGTAAGCCTGCTCTCAAGTGCATTCAAGGGGCAGATGTGTTCCGCAGTTGGCTGACGATGTGATCTTCGCGCCAGTTGTAGACCCTTTGTGGCTTCGAGCTTCAGGTTCAGTAGCCCTAAACCCTAAACCCTAAACCCTACACCCTAAACCCTAAACCCTAAACCCTAAATCCAGCAGGTTTAGGGTTTCAGGTGCATCCTTGATGGCCCTTTGAGGTCTGGTTAAGGGCTTGTATGGCTTTAAGGCTTAGGGCCTAGGGCTTAGGAGGCTTAGGGAGGTTTTGGAGGTTGAGGAGGTTTAGGAGGTCTAGGAGGTTTAAGAGGTTTAGGAGGTTTAGGAGGTTTATGAGGCTTAGGAGGTTTAAGAGGCTTAGGAGGTTTAGGAGGGTTAGGGCAGCTCTGGGAAGGAGGGTTCGACCAGCTGTGGGCCTTCTAACTGCAAAAGGTGGTTGATGGGTTGGGACCCCCACCACACTGCCCCAAACCCTAGGACTAGGGACTCTAGGATTCCAGGGACTCTAGGGACTCTAGGGATTCTAGGGACTCTAGGACTCTAGGGCCTCTAGGGCTCTAGGGCCTCTAGGGCTCTAGGACTCTAGGACCTAGGAAGCTTTAAACTTTGGGGCCCAGGGCCAATTGCCCAGTTTAGGCCTCCTTCGACTTGGGGCGGAGATAGGTTGAGGAGTTTGGAGTTTCGGCTCAAGGTTTTCTCCTTAAAGTAGACTTGGGGTCTACAGTCTACTACAGTGTACAGGCCTTGTGTCTTGGGGTAAACTTTAAAGTTTGAAGTCTAGAGGCCTATGGGGAGTACAGTGCTGTGGACCAAGGGCTTTGTTGGCTCATAGGCGCACGCTTTCAAAGAGAATTTTCAGGGTCTCACTCCACGCCCCGCCTTGAAACGCTTCGTCTCCATGCTAGCCAGCTGGCCCTCCTCGTAAACCTTGAGGTCGTCCATGTGCTCGGTGTTCGCGTCTTCGTTCTGGCCCAAAGTCTTTGCATACCCTGCTTTCTGTTCACTTCTGATCAGATCCGGGTTGCGCTTCCGGAGTTTGCCATTGCATGGCAAGCATTCGTTGTGTCGTTCACTTCGGAACTGTAGAAGTGGTTTCTGGGGAAGTAAGCAGCGAAGGGATTGGCAAATGACCTGGGTCTCCGGCAGTACCTGCACCCCTTGAACCCAGCATTGCCCCACTGTTCCGAAGCTGCCGATCGGC